GAACTGCGCCTCTGAACGGTTTATGGCCAGTCTTATCTGTAAGCACGCATATTCTTACTCACTATTACCATGCAGTTAGAGAGGCAACATGCGTTATCAGTTTTCGGGGAATACGTGGAATGACGAACATGGCCCAAAGGTCTTGCGTCTGCACAAATTTATAGCAAACTTAATCAGTTTGGCGTGCTGAAAATGTAATGGGTTCAGCACAGTTAAGGGTCCGGGAACTTCTCCCCTAACACGGCGTCGCACACGCCACACCCGCAGTCTATCACAGGATTGCGATGGAAGATTGGAGCGCGCAATTTGTAAGGTAGGGAGTCCTTTAATTATTTGAATTGGCTGGCCTCCCTTTTCAATTCCAATGCGGTCTTGATCGTCGTTTATATAGGAGGAGTCATTTTAATTAATCAAGTCCAATAAACATGAGAACTTAAAAGAAACAGAAGAAAAAACGATAAAATCCAATGAAAAAGCAAGCCAGTCAAGGAAAAATATCGCGTCCTATCGATTGGCGGGAGGCGGGGTGAGTACGGTAATTGCAGTGACATTTGCCGCATGCCGCAAGGGAGAATGGCGCGATAGCGGAGAAGTCCCTTGACCCCACAGTTAATTGCTAATCACTGTAGTTGCCAGAGGTATAAGAAAGAAATAAAAATTCAATAGGAATGGGAAATAAAAACTAGTGGGAGACAGGAACCTTTTTACTTATCATATCCATTTCACATAGGACTGCAAGAGCTCTCTAATTGCTTCCAAAAGTCATCATATTTGAATTAGTCATTCGATAATTCACTTCCGTTATGAGCAAAAAATCATTCAAAAGGGTGAAAATGAACCTGTGCTTAGCACCTTACATGGAGGGTTCATCTGTCGGCTACCATAATATCTTATTGTGGCTATTCGGATGATACGAGATACCCAATGTAGAACTACCTGCTTAGGATCAATACCCTTTTCATAGATAATCTCTTCCACATATATAATATGTTACATAGGTATTAACAGATGCCTGGAATGATAGGAGAATTCAGCTTGATTTTCCAGAGTCCCCCAGAATGTCCTAAAGTCTTTGACGTTGATCAATCACTCTGGGGGATGAGCCCTTGCACTTAACTTCCTTCAGAATCGTAGTGGCGAAATGAATGTATGTGTGGCATATACAATGGCCTGCAATGGCCAGCCTATGTTCAAGTCAGTGCTTTTATCCTCCCAGACGGGCATGGCACCAATCAACCGACCCGTGTTGATTGAAATGCTTGATTGACTCAGACGGATGTTGATCCGGGGTTCCAACTCGTGATGNCAGCTAGCCTGCACGAATACAGGGCGGAGATTTGATCAAGCATTTCAATGCTTACGCTCTCTACCAGACAGGGAGCCCTCTTTTTCGGACATCTTTAGTACTGCTGACTTTGAATCATAGAGGTCTTTTTGAAGAGGGCCTGTGGCTTCGATCATGGCCGCGCTAGAACGGTGTTACTCAAGCCACACACACTCACTCTGGTGTCCTTAATTATTGCAACTCATCGTTTCGGTGTAGGAGCCGAAAACATAGAAACATTGGCGATTCCCCCTCATCGAAGGGAAATCGGTCATCAATTCTGCACGAGTGTTTTGCCTCAGCGTTCTTCAATATCGACCTAGACTGATTTTCAGGAATAACATCGATGGATGTGACTACGCACATAACTGCCCCCTCACATCAGGTCCGCTTACTCTTGACCTCCCACTGGACTTGTCGCAATTCTCGGCAATAATCAACATTCTCGCCTCATACGTGAGTATTTCGTAACGCTATTATTTCTTAGAACGTGATTTTGAGTTGTTGCCATCGATCACTCCGTCGTCCTTGTCCAAGTTCCTTGAGAAGGTAAACTAATGCATTTGGCATGTGTTATACATAGTGTGCACGCAAACTGCCGAAAACTACTGTAGTCAAAAACTCCTTCAACTATTCTGAAAGATTCCATGGGTTATTGGAAAAAAGCATCTCTCTCTCGTGTGAGGGCCGCTCTTCCCTAACATAACACATCCAGAGATTTCACAAGATCGCCGTCGATTGACCAGATTCGCCAATCTTGTTTCTGGCTTTAAGGTTCCGAAATCAGGGCCGCGAAATGCAAGGGGGGTTCAAAGGCTGAGTACTTGGCACAAGTTTCGATAGGGTCAGTAGGGGAGTGACCGGATTCGAACTATTGAAAACTCGTTTCCAATAAGGAATGAGAGTTCGACCATCGTAGAGCTGAACAAGCAGGGAGGAAGGAGCCGAGTATGCGCATGCAGGCGAGTAAAGTTCTAATGTAGCTGTTCCAGAAAAGCTTTCAGGACGTTCCGGAAAAATGCGATTGAGGCCAGATTTTTGGCAAGTACATATGTTCCGAACCTGAAGGAGTAAAAAAGGATTTTCATGAGTCCCAATGACTGCTGCGCCGTTTGAGCTCTTCTACTCAGAGTCAGTAGTAGTTTGGGTATTATTGTTATCTTTTTCAGCGACCGTATGAGTTCGAAATTCGAATGTTTAACTACAACAAAGGCAATACGAAGCATGAAGAATTTGCTTGTGTCATGGCTCAAGTAGAATTGATATAATCTATATATATATATATTGATTGAAATTGTTGTCACATTATCCACTCCTAATTCATTGTTCAATTTGTTGAAATGTGTAAAAATGTATAAAGCCTCTTATCAACTTGTTCACATTTCCGAGTAATCTTGATAGAATCATAAAGCTCTGCACGCTCGAGAATCTTCGCTATATCATCGTGGCCAAGGCTCAATCCTTCACTTGCTTCGAGCGCTAACAAGGAAAGAATGCCATGTCGATGAGGATGAGTGCTCAAAAACGCTGATCTCCCATCCGTACTAAAAACCTGCTAATCGAATTTGGCGATAATGTTAGAGGACCGTTTTTTCCCCCTTGTTATACCCTGTGTTGCACATATAAGCTAGCGAAATAGACACCAAATCGGTGTAGCGGAGAAGCGTCGGTAGGTAGGCATGCTAGCGAAGGTCTGACAGCTGGAGGGATGTGAAGGTTCGGATCCTTTATGCATATGCTCACTTTTATTTCTTGTAAATCGTTCACTAGTCCCATACTCTCTAGATACCATATACCGCTTCCATTGATCTTACTGTAATTTTTTTCCTCGTAAAAAGTGCAACTCACATGCGTCAGAGCATTTCTAGCCTCGGAAATGGTTGGTCCTTCAAAAGGCACTCCGGTCAAATATTCGAGGGCCCAGTTCAACTTGGGCAAATGTGCCTGAAATTTCTTAAAGCTTCTTGAGTTTTCGGAGTGTGGGTGTAGATTCCCTTGCTAGAGACAAGGAAAGACTCATATTGTGCTACGATTTTCAGTTGTAATCCACGAATATAGGAGACGACTGTATAAGGTCAATGAAAAAGGTAAAAGCATCTTCTGGCCTCTGGGAAACTTTATATGAGGAGGGAGCTCGAGCCCGTGCTTCAAGGGGCCTAACCTAGATACCCTTCCCTGTGCGCAGGCTTGCCTAAGCTCTGCGCCATCGCTTCACGATGTGCTTACTACCAGACTGGCTTATATAAGCAACACAGTGATATGACACTGACAGAATGGTTCCGTGACTGCGTTTGCAGAATCGTTCAGCAGATTTGGAGGGTAGAATTAAGATTAGCGTTTAGAAAAACTTTTGATGGATGGGTATATCTCTTTCAAAGCCGTCTCAAGATTAGTATCCTTCCCTCATAATCTTGGGAACATTCACAAAAAATATTTGAGGCGATTCTTCGAGATTCTAAATTCACATGCTTCATAGTATTCTCTGTCGTCGTCATTGCCACCATACCCGCCAGGCTACTCGCTAATTCATCGCCGTAGCTGCTCAAGTCAACTCGTCCTAACCCCACCCCTTCCCTTGTCCTCTCTCTACAGTATATTAATCTGTATATAAGCATAGATAGATAGATATAAACATATGTCTATACGGGAACATCGCCTGAGTCCGCTACACATTCAGGGGGTGGCGGAACTTTTCCTGAATGCCCACGGCCTGCGGCAGAAGTTCCTGGACAACTGCCGTATCCTACCATCGGGCATTCAAATCATTCCCTGCACAGGGCGCGATCGAGTGCGACGATGCCGCTCCAGGAGAAGGTACCAGATCCCACACACAGGTATAGGAGTAACGAACTCATACTTGACAGACAAGCCGCGACGCACAGCATTCAAAGTGGGGGCCACACTATCCAAACGGAGTGTTTAGTGTGAAAAGTAGCAGCATAGAGTCGTCTCCGACTGGATGGCCATTCACCTTGAACACTTGAGGTGTTTCAACGTGAAATATGAACCTGATTCCTTCGGCAGCCTCCCTTGCATATTCACTATTCCATCGCCAAAACCTTCGTTCCTTTCTGTTCAAGTAGTTTATGCTTGCAGTATTCCAAAAAAACTCACCCATGATACAATTTTGCTTGTCACTCTCTTGAGTCAGGTTCCATCCTGCACCTTGATGCTTCCCTCCTCTTCTGCGCTAAATGATGTATTAGAATAACGAATTCACTGACATAGTCCGCCGCACTCCAAAACCACGGCTTTAAGGGCTGCAATTGAAGAGCGACGGCTGGCTCCGAGTTTATGAGAGTGTGTTGGAGTTTTAACATTCTTTTCAGTTTACGAATCTTTTTTGTGTGGTTATTTGGTTCTTTTGAAATGTTTCGCAGAAAATCCGTCATTCACTGTAATCAGAGATCAATCTGCAAAGTTGTTTCCAATATTTTCATTAATTATTGCATTATTTATTTTATTTCGCTGATTTTCTTTCTTCCATTTTGTCCATTATTTTTTCCTACTAAAACTTGCACATTCGAATGCCGCCCAAATGTGAAGCCGGGAAAATTATTGAACTGTTCAGTGAAGTGTCTACTTTTTGCAAACTAATGGTTGTGGGGCTTGAATTCTGTGTATTATCAACGTAGTTCAGTTTTTGTCTTTTCGCTTTACTGCATGTTGTAGTTGTTGTAAATGAATCGCTCGTGTTTGTAAACTGGAATAATCGTGGCCTCCTAGTAGGTCGAAAAACCTGCAAATATTGGGGAATTAGATTTTTTTGTGCTTGCTTGTAAACAAGACGAAACTAAGTATTTGCATTGTAGCTCTCAGTATCACCTGGTATATTTTGATTACCAACCTTTCAAAGCTCAAACGGAGTAAAAAGGCGAACTTGCATGCTTCTTCTTTCCAGGTAGTGGCAATAACGGGAAGAATAGTACCAGTGCCTAATCTTGCACCTCGCTAACTTAATCGGTGACTGTTCCGGGGTAGCTACCTGTAACAGTTTTGGGATTGAAACGGAACTATCTCCAAACAAAAGACGGGTTTCTGCAGTGGACATTTTCTAGCATTTCATTGTCGGAGCGTCACCTTGGAAGAGAGTTTTTTGGGCATTTTTTGGCGCTCTTTGTTATTTATTCTAGCACTACGCGTTCTCTACACTCGTCAGAAAAAATATGTCTATGTCCTATTCGCGCAAGAACAAATGTAAGCAACCGTAATGCCTTTTATTCCAGGTTCCTCACCAAATGGATCAGGGGCTCCACATATCGAAGGAGATTTATGGTCGAGATCACGGTCCAATGATATAATCATGTGATTGGAGCTCCAGATGCCTCCGTTTCGTATCTCCTCGTACGGTCAATCACTAAGCGAACTCAACAGGTCGTTCTTGAAAAAGTCTCGGGAAGTACTCCTTGTTGAAAATTTCTGGGAAGCTCCTATCCAGAACTGTTCATGCACATGATCTGCGATTTTTTGAGCATACTCACCAGAAATCCTCGCTTCTGATTATTAGGTCTTAATTACTTCCTGCATGTTTGGATGAACTTGTGCATCTCAATTTCGAGAGCATTTTTGCGATTTCGAGGGGGTGAAGAACCTGCGGAGATACGTTGACCATACCATCACCCTGCCTAGTCTTCACGGTTCAGATCTTTGAGCTTGCAGTTGCACAAATAATAGAGTGGATCCCCGCTCGAAGTAGTCGTCTGTGGTGAAACCTATCCAACGAATAAGTTCTTGGATTTGGGTTCTGCCTTCCAAGATTACAAGCCAATGTACTGAGCGAAGTCATGATCATGCATCTATCCGGATTCAACATGCGGAAGTGTTGGTAGAAAGACTCCTTACTACGCAAATGACCACCACGATCGTTAAGCTAATTGCCTTTTGGTTGAGGTCGTGTTTTGCTATGCGAGTTTGTGGAGCTTTGGATCTTTTCTGGCATAGTCGATTTTCCTCGGTTGTCATCGGGAGTTCATCCGATTAATTCATTACTTCACTGCTGCTCCATTGCAGCTAACTTTTCTTTAATCTCATCAAATAGCCATACTTTGTTCCTCCTGGTGCTAAATTTTTGTTCATGAGTTGTTTTTGAGGGGCACCTAGCTAGCCCGTGCATCTCCAGAAGCTGATGTTGCTGGAGACAAGACAAACTCATTTGAAGCATTTAGGTGGTAGCAAAGGCATAGTCTGCTTTTTGGCAGTGCTCATGGAGTGAAAATACATACTTACACCTGCTCTATCAGACGGAGGTCGTGTAAGTGGGAGAAGTGCGTTGGTCGCATGAAGGTTCGGAGGGAGCGAAGCTTCAAGTGGAAGTTGAATGGTTGGGTATCTCGACTCAAGGTTCAGGTGGATGCTTGCGATTTGGAGAACGGCTCTTGGGCGAATACTTTCGGAGAAATTTCCTGGCTTTTACTGAATGATCTCGTGATAATACTCGGCCAAATATTCCTTCTGCAGTTGGGACAGGTTTTTCAAATGAATACAGTGTAAGCACACAGCCCCTTCTACTCGCTGCTTACTTAAACTGACTGTTGCTTAGGCGTTGTTTACCATAGTTCCATGCTCTCAGATGAAGCCATCACAGTTCCTCTCAGATAACCTTGCCTAAGTTTGGAATGTAGTCCAGAAATCGGCATTCAAGAGCCTTCGTAAGCTACACCCCTCATTACGCGTTGGTTATTTGGTCACTGTCGTAGTATTTGATTATTGAAGCGATCAAATGTTTCCTTTTTTGTAAATATATGCCGTATTTCTATTATTTCCTTTTTTTACAGATATAAAGGACTATTTTGAATATTGTGTCGAGGGAGGTGAGGAATATCGTAATCATCACCCTCGCACAAGTCTCGATTAAGAGCAAAAGTCGTACAGTAGATTAAAAAGTTCCCGTAGTTATCTGAGTTATTCGTCTCGTCATCACCATCAAATCGCCGCTGTAGTCTCGCGTCGACCGTGTCTAACCGCTGTCACTCCGTCAAGGAATGCAGTCGCCGTCATTCAGCTCTTTCCTTTCAGGTTACCGTAGCCGCCGCCTTAGATCAATGTTTCGATTGTAGCTTTTTCGTAGTTTGGGCTATTATATGCGCAGGGAACAACGATTAAGGGCCGCCGTCATCAGAAATCACCCTCGAACCCAGTTAGGTAGTTAGGCTCCGTAGGGAGACGACGATTAATTAACAATTGTGTTCATCTAGCTACGTAGTCGTAGAAGGTGAGGAACTCGGCTCCGCTGCCGCTGACCGCTGAGACCATCTCCACTATCCCTTCCATTCACCTTCGCCCTCCCCCCCCCCCCCCCCCCCCCCCCCCC